CCTAACCCTAACCCTAACCCTAACCCTAACCCTAACCCTAACCCTAACCCTAACCCTAACCCTAACCCTAACCCTAACCCTAACCCTAACCCTAACCCTAACCCTAACCCTAACCCTAAGCGGACGCGCGAGGGAAAGTACGCACATGTCCATGCCACTGACGACAGGCGAGCGGAAGGGCGCGACGGCTCACGCAGGGGTGATCGCGTTCTTCGTCTTCTTTCCCTTTCCCTTGCCCTTGCCCGTCTTGGCACCCGGCTGCGACGCGGCGGCGGCGGCGGTTTCGGGCTCCTTGGCCTTTGCGCTGGCCTTGGACCTGGAGCGCGTCGATGGCCCGGCGGTGGGAGACGACCGTCCGCTCGCACTCGCCTTGGCGGCGGTGCGCGGAGCCTTCTTAGGTGGGCGCGCGCCCGGGCTCTTCTGTGGAGAGAGGGTCTCAGCACGCGGACGCTTGCCTGCGGGCGGAGTCTTGGAGCCATCGCCACCTGCAGTGGGGGGGTCGTCGACGATGTTGATGCTGCTGCTAAAGTCATTCTCGAGTTGAATCGTGCTGATGCTCTCCGGGAGCCACGAGTTTTTGAGCAGTTCGACGTGTCCGAATGGCATCGTTGTTTGTACCATGGGTTTACGCGCGTTGGCCTTGGAAGACGACGCTGCGGCCTTGGAAGACGACGCTGCGGGCACAGCAACATCCTCCATATGAACGTCCTAAGTACAACACGACACTTTAGTTGGTATTGCCGATGCGAACACAATAGGACTCACCTCAGGCTCATCCCGGGCACGCTGCTTCGCCGCTCTTGCCTGTACCTTGTCCTTGTCCAGCCGCCGCTTCTTGAGTTTCAACAACTCCAGCATTTGCTGCGTGAGGATGTAAGCAGGTGTGCGCACATACACAGGCACTCGTGGCACGACTCACTCGCTGCGTAGTCGGTGAGGCCTCTCCCGAGTCTGAGTGCGAATGTGACGAGTCTTCAGGCTCTTCAGGCTCGGACGCGGTCACATTCGTCGTCTGCGGCAGGAGGTGAGTAGGGACAGAGGTGTTCGTCGCAGAAGACTCACCAGCGCAGTCTTCTCGGCCTCCGGCTTTGCCACATCCACATCCACATGTTCGTCCTCTGGCTCTTCCGCGCCCACCTCCTCCGGCTCTTCCGCGTCCGCGTCCACCTCCTCATCCGCGTCTGATTGCTCCTCAGCGGGCGGAGGCAGCTTCTTCTTCGTCACGGGGGCCTTCTGAGGGTGTGGTCAGACCTGTGCGGCGAAACGCGCGAGCGCCATCATAGATACAGGCGACTTACCGACTTCTTGGGCAGAGCGGGTGCGACCTGGTCGTCCTCCTCTGACTCGGCCGGCGGCGGTGCGACCGCCTTTTTCGCGGCGGCGGCGTTCTTCGAGGCAGTTACCCGTTTCATTGCCGCCGCCATACCTAGCGGCTTCTTTGCCGGCTTCTTGTCGCTCTCCGCCGCAGCGGGTGCGGGCAGGGGCTTTGTCTTAGCAGCGGGTGCGGGCGGGGGCTTTGTCTTAGCAGCGGGTGCGGGCGGGGGC